CATCAAGAACCTCTTATCATCATCAAGATCATCAAGATCACACATAAAATCATCCCATCAATCATCAAGATCATATCATCAATATTATAAACGATTCATCACGACACAAGCGTAGAGAAGAAGCCAAAGAAGATAATTATAGCAAGGAAAATAGGTTTTGTTGAGACATGTGTTACCTCTTAGCCTTAATTAATTTCCTTGGCTATGAAGGGTCTTTCTTTAAGATTCCTTCTTTCTTGATTTCTCCTAGGGGGATTTTTGGAACTTCTTGTGTGGTGAGAGATTATTGTGGTGTGGGTTCTAGGTGCCTCCTATGCCCCCTATTTATATACCTAAGAGTCCCTAATTAGGGCTAGTTCTATTCCTTCTAGGACTACGGGATTGGGTTTATGGATAAGGGCCCATGGACTATGGTGGGCCTTTTCCTAATTAATTATTGGAATTTAGTCCTTTCTTTTGGGTAAATGATTAAATGATTAATTGGTTTTAGGGGCCGTAACACGGGGTGTTACAGGGTGACCCCCACCCACCGGCTACCCGCTGGTCCGTTACCCACCCCGGGTCTGGCTTCCCCGTTTGATGTTCCCCACTCCCCGTGGTGTCGCAACGGACCCCGTTTGTCGTGCTTGAGTCTATTTTAATGTTTCGGGTACCGTTCGTAGGATAAAAGAGTCTAGGATTTGCATGCTAGTTGAATCAGTAACCCGTTGGCCTAAGTAGAAGTCGTATGAACCCCTTAGGACTATTCTTAGTATGGGAATGATCACACGTAAGCTTAATTATATTTCTCCCCCTTCCCAATGTGCTATTATAGGTTATTATATGCTATTACGTGCTATTATGTGTTATGTGGTGCATGATTCCCCAATTTGGTTGCGATCAAATTGGCTATACGGGCAGTTGGATGGGTTGAGAACCATCCCAACTGTTAACCAGGCCGGTTGAGATCCGTCAGGTATATAAATATTATATAGGGCTGCGGTCCACTGTTTGTTTACTTATGAGCTGCGGTTCATCCTCCTGGCTGCGGTCAGTGATTCACTTCTTGGGCTGCGGTCCACATGGGCCTCGGGTGCTATAACCCACCGACCTGGACGCGCCAGGCGGTGTGTAGGGCCAATAAGCTCGAGGAAGGCTGTAGTCCACCGACCTGAGTAATCAGGCGGTGTGTAAGGCTACGGTTGGCTGCGATCCACCGAGTGATGGGCCAGCGGTGTGTAGGGTCATAGTCTCCGAGGATCATCGCCCACCGACTGAGTACTTCAGCGGTGTGTAGGGCCTGATCCGCTACGGTCCACCGACTGTACCAGTCAACGGTGTGTAGGATCGTAAGTCCCCCCTTGTAAAGTGGATCATGGTCCACCGATTGGGCGCGTCAGCGGTGTGTAGGACTGTGATCCGCCGCTGAGTTCATCAGCGGTCTATAGGGTTGGTTGCGATCAACTCCCTTCATGCTGCGGTATGAGGTAGGGTGCTGCGGGGCCGTGTTAGTGCTATATGCACTAACCCTCATGTTCGGGGCATGTGATTGGTCCCGCGGCGCCACCACAGTGTGATTGTGTGTCACAAATGATGATATGATTGATTTGAAAGTAATCTATGACCTTAGTTGCGTATTCTTTATGATAGTTGTTTCTACTTGATTGTTATCATTGATTTTTGTGCTTGCCCCTATTTGCTGAGTCTATTCCTGGTTTTAAAGCTAGAGTCTCTTAAGTATATATCTTCCTGCTTCAAAATGGTTTTCATATATCTATATATATCTATCTATATTATATTTCAACGCGTTGGAGTGGGTTACCGGCATCATTCGCTGAACAGATATATTTGGCTTTCAGGCACAGATGAGTAGACACCGAAGCGCGCTAGAGATCCGGAGCGTAGATTAGTTAGTTTCCCTTTCGGCCTGCGTGCCATGATTATGTATTGACATCACTTTGAGGTTGTTTAGTTAGTTAGCCTATGCATCTGAGTTTTCCAGCTCAGATGTGGCATAGCACCCCGCACTCTTATGTTGATTTTGGGATTTAATGAGAATTCGCCTTTATTATATAAGCTTTAAAAGTTTCAAAATTTCGGGGTGTCACAGTTGGTATCAAAGCCTAAGTTTGACCCTAGGATAAGACTCTTAAGACAAGACTTTAGGACATTAAGCTTGAACTCTAGGTATTTAGGTACATAGGATTCAGGAAACTTAGGACGCGCGGTGAGATTGTGAGTTTATCACTTTTGACAGGTCTCACATACTTGTTCTTCATCCCACATACTTGCCCTAAAAGTTGTGACATCGTTACATGCTTTCACCTATTTTGTTGCTTATCACTCTTTGATTACCATACTTGTTTATTTGCTTAAACATATGTTCCTAATTTATTTGTTTATAGACCGAGTCAGGAATTGTGTATTGTTGCTTAAACTATTTGATCAAACGTGCGTTATTTGGATATTCGTTAATTGATATTTTGGAACTTGTAATTGGTAATTAGACATATAATAGCTCACTTCCCCTAATCATAATTGACCAATTACTCTGATAATTAACCCACTAATAGCTTGATAAGTACTTACGTAAGTTTGCATGGAGAAAATTGTGGGAACGTAGCTCTAGTTAAGAAGGGGGTAATGGGGTGTGTGATCCTTATGATATCTCATTGAATGCCTCCCGTGTCCCTTGTTAGTATCATTATAATGTGATTTCCTAAGATTTTCCATGCATTTAAATCTCTTTTATTGTTCATATAAGCGTGGAATTGTTTGGACTTAAATCTATGCATTCTCGGGACTTTCCCAAAGTGATTCCTTCTTCACAGTCACGTTCCAATGGGGCCTTGGCAGGAGGTCGACCACCCACCACGTGCCCACTGCCACATTCCAGTGGGGACTTGACAGGCGGTCGACTGCCCACCTCGCGCCCACTGGTACGGTATGTTTTCTTGACTTCTCGTTTTATTGATCCATTATGCATTTGTGTGCCTTCATTGATACTTTTTATGTGTTTAACATGTAAACAACAATCTAATGCTTGAACATGAAAGTCGAATGATCTTCCTAATTGATTTGTTTATAAGTTACATAGAAATTATAGGGACTAATTCTACTTCTAGAAATCGAAATCCTCGGGTACATTGCATATTAAGTTTTGACCCGAAGGACAATCTGAGTGAAACCGGGATAAACCCGAGGAACCTAAACCAAGTGGTCATCAAGAAATTATCCTTGGAAAAATTATATTGCATCCCCAAACTATCTTAAAAGCTATCCCTCTAGACCTTGGTCCATGTTGCATAATAGACCACAAGCCTCCAATACCTTGTTTAGAACCTTAGCCACTAAGATGAGGACCCCCTAAACGAACATTTACATATAAATAGGTATCTCACTACTATTCTGAATATGTTCCCCTGAACTTCTATTATATATATATATATATATATATATATATATATATATATATATATATATATATATATATATATATATATATATATATATATAGACGTTCTAAAGCAGGTAGTAAACCCCAAATACATTTGTATGCTAGACTTACACGCAAGATATTATTATTATTATTATTATTATTATTATTATTTTCATTACTATTACACCCTAACCCTTGCCTAAACCTAAATCCTCGATGGTTGCGTCATATACGGTACACCCCTATATGCTTATATATATAAATATATAGATTTGTGAGCCTATAGAACATCCTCCCTTATACATACCTATTCATATAAATTGTTACAGTCATATTATATACAATAATATCCCTAGCCTCAAAACCATACACCTGTACCTAGCCATTATGATCTTATATGCATCTATGAGTTTGCACTTAGCATGTCCTAACCCTGAGATATCATTCCGTACAAATTACATCACTCTTATATACACAAATCCTGAGATAACCCTAATTCTACTCTTCCCCCTCGCATGACCTCCATGTTACCACTCCTACCTTCCCTAAATAATTAAAAGCTTTAGCCTCATCATCAGATCATCAATTGATTTTGGAATTAACAATCAAGGGTCTTCAACTCTAAAGTTGTTTAGGTATTCCAGGCTTTTAGAGGTAAGATTTATGCCTACCTAAAATCTAATTACCACCAAGATAAAACTAATTTTTCCTAAATGCTTGTGTGATTAAATTCTGTCAAGATTTCTCAAGATAAAACCTTTAGTACTTGTGAACCTAGGCTATCTTATTCGTAATTATTAAAATATTTGTATGCAAATTGCAGGGTCTAATTATAGGTGGAAATTCATATATTTCATATGTATTGCATGTCAAATCACATAGCTCGCATGTTTATGTTAAAACACACACTTACACACATTCATGTATATATGCAAAGCATGTTGGACAAAAACGGCATGTTATAAGGCATCCCACTATGCATATACACAATATTATTAATTACAAGCAATCTGCATATAAGCGCCAATACTTGTTATGTGATTACCCACCATTATCCATGGTATGCAAAAATAAATATACTAATTCTATGGCCTCCCCAGAATTTATTTACCACATAATAAGCAAGAACCTTCGTCCTAAACTACTTACAATCTTTTCCTCAAAATCTGATTTTCGCTATTTGAATAATTGTTATATGATTTATGACCTTCCTGAATTTATATGACAATTGTTTGGTTATGTCATGACGTTGAGTACATGAATTTAATTGTTAATCATGCACTAGTTTAACATGTTGAATAATACATACATAAGTTTTACGATTTCCATAGGACTAGTTATTATTTAAAGACTTGAAATATATGCATATGTGCTTTATAATAATTATGTGACTATCCGAATCCTGCACCCACGTGGTATTTGCCTCTTAAATAGGTACATAAATAAATGATCGGTGCAACTTGTGAACCTATGTGTTAAATGTAACACCCCCTAAAAACAAGCTATAAAAAGCCTTAAAACATGCAGATAACGGAACTAAACATTCAACACAGCGGAAGTCTGAACGATAGATAGATAGGTAAAGTCTGAAACACAGGGTGTTATGCCATGTTCACCATAAGGATGAACGCACAGGCAATATCTGCACTGTTCACAACTAATCCCACAAGTTCAAAGTTCTACATCTACACTGGCTCATAGGCCACAAAACGAGAGGGGAAATCTATTCTAGCAAGTACTAGACCGCGCGCTCACTTAGACATCACCTGAAAGAACACAATAAAACATGGGACGACGCCTGGTCAGCGAATAATGCTGGTAACCCACCAATACATGTGAAATAACATACATAAGTAAGATATAAGTTGTAAAGCCATTTTCGAAATGGAATACATATATATAAGTGCAAAAACCACGAGTAATAGTCAACACAAGACTCAACACTCTCAACAAGAACACGGGAACACATCCCAAGACCACAAAGAACAACACGACTCACAAGAAGTCTCAAGGTATGATCTATCATCACACAATAGATCAAAACCCGACATGCATAACGCAAAGGAATAAGACTCACCCACGGCAACACATGCCAAGGCAACACATGCCTTTGTGACTACACACGTCACAAGAGAAGAACTCACAACAATGGCTACACAAGCCCTCGTGACATCACCCATCACGAGTTGATATGCCTTCCTTATGCCCGGTTCCAACCTTATGGCTATCCCCAACCTTATATCTTCTTCCAACCATTACCTCCAGGACCCCTGTACAACCAAGTCCAACCTTTTCCCTCCGAGGACCGTCGTCTCCATCCGCTGACAAACCGCCAACAAAACCACCAACACATAGTACACGAGGGTACCGATCACACACACGGCAACACATGCCTCCCAAGAAATACGTGAACCTGACACACAGGTCACAACTCCATAATCACGTCATGGCCACCACGAGGACCACTGCAATACCTTGGTGACTAGTGTCCCATACCACTAATCGTGCAATCCAAGTAAAGCCACACACACATCACACCTCAACAGGAATCAATCAACGGATCACAGCGAAGATATGAAACCATACTCAATCAAGGAATGGGTCACAACCCAACAACAACAACGATGAATAACACAAGTTATCATCAACCAAAGGATGGTACAAACAACACACACGCTAGCATTTAAACACCGAACTAGCATGTTTATCGAACGGGTAAACAAAACGTAGTTCCGAGGAACACACAAGACTCATCATGGTTCAACGAAACACAATGTTGAACACTTAGCACGATTCAAGACACCAAAGACCTACATGGATACCTACCACATAGTTCTAGACATACGAAACATCAAGAAGACACTCAAATAGTTCCACAAAAGAACATCGAGAAGTCAAAAGACCAAATACCGAGTCAAAAGAATCATGGGGAACAAATCCCCGCCATCACCACAATACGTACCCATGGGTAGGCCCACGGGTAAGCCTCTACCCACGGTTCCGCCCGCGGGTACAGGCTACCCAACCAGTGTACCCCACGGGTGGGCAACGGGTTGGACCCCTACCCGCCGTTCTGCCCGCGGGTACATCCCTGTACCACAAAATATCCCTTCGGGGATTTTCAACTCCAAGCTCAAACTCAAGTCCAAAACATGCCAAATCTCACCAAATACAACAAAATGACTTGAATCAAAGGAAATGCCAAGCAATGGCACAAATGAACCCTAAACACAAGCTCTAGATATGCATTTTCACAAGACAATGCATACACACTCACATTTCATAGCAAAAACACAAGTAGAATCCAAGAAATATTCATATAGGTAAGCAAAATAGATTTTGTAGAGCATGGGTTACCTCATTCGCTTATCCAACCAAAACCAACACCAACATTGGCTCAACTCATGAAACCAAGTTACCGGGAACCTGTGAATTAAACCAGTTCTCAACTATTAACACAAGCACTAATAAAACTAATTATGCTCAGAAAGAGAATTGAACTTTAAATCCTTCATTAATTACCCACAAGCTCAACCAACTAAGCTAAACATCTTATTAATAACTTAATCACAACATTATTGTACTAATAGGTAGGCTAAATAACCAAGACCTAATAGATAGAACTTATTACTTAAAATTAAACACTAAAACTAGCTTAAAGCCTTAAGCAAGGATCAAAACCTAACCAAACGCAACCACAACCCCCACACTTACCACTAAGCTAGTAACTCAATTAGGAACCTAAGCAACAACTAAACTAATTATCCCTAAACAAACAACTAAGGTAAGCAAAGCTCACCTTCATCACCATCTTCTGCTTCGACTTCATGCCAACAAACCCGCGGGTTGAGCGACGTGCTCACCACCACCCGTCTATCTGCCCGCTGCCGGAGATGCTACTGACCAGAGCCGAGGATACGGAAGGGAGGAGCTGCTCGTCACCATTACACATCCAAAATGCCTGTTGACATGCCGGAGAGGATGCCGGAAAGAGATGATCGTGAAAAGCTTCCACTTTTCTGTCGATTGCCGGAGCCGCTCCACTTCACTGTCCACATCCTCTAGGAGCACCCAAAACCACCGCCGAAGGGTTGAGCTATGCCGGGAAGGCCGAACGAGAAGGAAGGTTGAAGGTTCACGTCGAAAAGCTTCGCCGTAACTTCCCGTTGCTACCGCCAAAACTTGCCAGAAACAGAGAGAAACGCCGGAGGTCGCGCCGGAGCTCACTTCTGTCCATTGTGGTTGATGCTTGCTGCCTTGTTGCCGAGGAAGGCCTCTAAGCCGGAAGACTTAGCTACCACAACCAAAGCTAGCATCCTCACTGTCATCTTTGCTCTACCGTTTAACGAAGAAGAAAGAGAGAAGGCGGAAGGAAAAGAGGCCGAAGAGCTTGATACAATGCATATACACATACACACTATGGGTAGGGTTACTCAATGAGTGAGTTAGGCTAGACTTGGGTCAAAAACTTGGGTTGGGTATTACTTTTGGGTCAAGAACTATACAAAATATATAAATATATTTTGGACTCACAAAATGATAACACTTATATGTTTATATAAACATTTGGGCTCCAAAAATAATCACTAGGCTTTAGGAATTAAAATCATTTTGTGTCTAGGCATATTTTGTACAAAAATATTGGTTCACCATAATAGGTAGACCCGAGCCCGTTTTTAAAATAAATAGCTATATAAATATTTTTATCAAAAATATTTATTATCGGGACTATAATTTATTTTTAGGAAAATACCGGGTGTCACATTAAATCACTGTAAATTAATTACACAATGAACATGACATGTGTAAGACTTCTATGTTATGATTCATTCATCCGTAAAATTAACATAATGTAATTTTCATATTCATAATCTTATTATCTGATGCATTTTGCTAGCACCATAGTTAGGCTTAAGCCAGTAAATTTATAGGTGCATATGTATATATCTCCCATATAACATCTTCTTTATGTACTACTATAACTAATTCAGGCTCTTTACCCCAAAATGATTTCTAAGCTTCGGGGACGAAGCTTCTTGTAAGGGGGGGAGAGTGTAACACCACGTGTTATGGCCTTCAATCCTATATTAATTATTTAATTAATTCTGTTAATAATAATAAAAAAGGGATTTAATTTGGCTAGGATTCCCTTTAATTAATTAATGTGGTCCACCATGGATCGTGGACCCTTACCTAGACTAGAGTCTTAAGCGTATTAGGAATAAAGAGAGTAAACCTTTTTACTAATCAGATTCTAATTAGGAGTCCTAGACCTAATTATCTATTAGAAATAAAGAAAGTAGGCCTTTACTATTCAGATCACGGTTAGGATTCCCTTTAATTAATTAATATGGTCCACAATGGACCATGGACCCTTATCCCTAAACCAAGCCCTTAGTCCTATAAGGAATACAATTAGTAAACCCATACCATTCAGACCCTAATTAGGACTCCTATATATATATATATATATATATATATATATATATATATATATATATATATATATATATATATATATATATATATATATATCACTACAAGAAAAATTACGAATTGTAACGCAAACATCGCGATGGAACATAATCTGTTGTCAATTTGTGACGGTTTTTGCGACGAAATGTGTTCTGTCGCGATTTTACGTCGAAAATGGTGACAGAATGCAATTCCGTAGTGATTTTTGGCGCAAAATGAGAATAAAACATGGGAAATTTTGGCGCCTACACTTTGGTGATGGATTTTGCGACAAAATTAAGTTCTGTCACCACAATAGCGGCGAAAAAGGCAACGATCGATGGTTCCATTACGGTTTTGCTACAGAATCGACTACGAGAATAAATTCTGTTGCAATATTTGGCGCAAAGTGGAAAATAATCTCACACCAAGGGATTAACGACGGAGGTTGACGACGGAATTTGCGACGGGAATTTTTTCTGTCGCAAAAATATATAAATTTTGAAGTAAAGTTTATTTTTGTTACAGAATGAGACGACGGAATCAATTCTGTCGCAAATATGTTGACACATTGGCGACAGAAAAAACGACGCCCTATATGTCTGTCACACTATGGCGATCGAATCAGCAACGAGAACTAATTCTCTTGCGATGTTTGGAGTAATAGTAGATTTGACGTTTGAAGTTGGCGACGGAATTTACGACGATCATTCTTTCCGTCACTAAAATATTTAATTTTTTTATGTAAAGTTTATTTTCGCTACGGAATGCGACGACAGAATCAATTTTGTCTCCAATATGTTGACACATTGGCGACAGAAAATGCGACGCCCTATATATTTGTCGCGCAATGGCAACGAAATTGGCAACAGAAATTAATTCTGTTGAGATCTTTGGCATAAAGATAAATTTGACGTTTGAGGTTGACGACGAAACTTACGACGATCATTCTTTTGGTCACTACAATAATTAATTATTTTAAGTAACATTTATTTTAGGCACCCAAAATATCTGTTGAGAAATATATAAACACAGATTCTAGGCCCATATGTTAATTTAAAAATGACTCAAAGTATGGAACCCTACGTGCGTAGCCTTACATTTTTTGTCATTTCCTCTCATTTCCCTTCCACTGATTCACCCTCCCATTTCGCTTATTTTCACTTCCCCCCCTCCCCCTCCCCCCCAATGCATTTTCCCTTTTCCCTCCCATTTCCCTTCCCCTTAATATTATTATTATATTTATTATTACTATTATTATATTAATTATATTGTTATTATTATTATTACTATTATTTTTTAAATTATTATCCATTTTTCCTTCAATTTCCCTTCGTCCTATGCATACACCATTATTATTATTATTATTATTATTATTATTATTATTATTATTACTATTATTATTATTAGGGACGGAGCCAAAGCGGGGTAGGGGGCGGCTGCCCCTCAACCCACTCTCACCCCCACCCCATATATAATCTTTGTATGTATATATGTATATATAGTACATGTTTTAGTATTAGCTAGTATAAAAAAATTATGAAATATTAACAAGAATGAGTTAGATTAGTTGGTAGAGCACATGTTTGGCAATTATAAAGATCAAGGTTTCAAATCGTTTGGTATCAACATATATTTATCGTGTTTTAAATTTAAATTAATTATGCTCATCTCCAACAATATTTACAACTATATTTCTTAGGTAATTTCTTTTTTTTTTTTTTTTTAAATTATCTCTTTTTTTTTTAAATATTTCGCCTTTACTATAAAAATTTTCTGAATCCGTCCATATTTCTTTGCCCCCCTCAACCAAATTTCTGGCTCCGTTCTTGATTATTGTTGTTGTAAAATTGTACAAAATATATTATTATTATTATTGCTATTATTATTATTATTATTATTTTCCTTTTTCCTCCTCCTTATGCACACAAAGTTAATTTTTTGTTGTTGTTATTGTTATTGTTATTATTATTATTATTATTATTATTATTATTATTATTATTATTATTATTATTGTTGTTGTTGTTGTTGTTGTTGTTGTTGTTTTTCTTATTATTATCTTTGTTGTAGAAATGTACAAATGCTATATTGGATGATTGTATTTAATGAAATCAAACAATTATCATTGGACCCAAACTTTGATTGGAACGACCATGTTTCTAGGTAATTAATGAGACAAGTAAAATTGTACTTTGTATAAAGAACATCTACTTCTGAGGGGCATAATAAATTTTACTTTTCACAGAAATTAAGTTAAGTTTTACAATTTAATCAATATTGAATTATAAATTTAATTTATTTTAATATAAAAATTGTTAGGACATCATTTGTATTATCTATTATAACTATGTACAATAATATTAATCTTTAGGATTACTTTGGCTAGAAGTTTAAAATACTCATTTCTATTATATTAAAAATAATTATTTTTATTTTATATTTAAAATTGTACTAAACTATATATCGGTAGCAAAAAGTTTTTAAAATCTTTATTCATTGACTGAATTGAAATATTTATTTTATAAATTTATTAACTGATTTTTGGTTCGACAATTTAACATATTTTCAGTGAATTGTATACACTCCTAAAAATATAATTAAAATTTATGTAAATATTTAAATAAAAAAGATTTTTGATCATACACACATGTAAAAAAAAAATTAATTTTCTTAATTATATGGGAAGTATATTTATTATATTAATTAATCCAAAACTACATATGTTTTATTATATATATATATATATATATATATATATATATATATATATATAGTATTTTAAAAGCTAAATACTATTTTAATATACTAAAATCCTAAACTTTATTTTAATTTACACCTAAAATCCTAAAATAACTAAATTCCTAAAATTTCTAATAACTAAATTCCTAAAACTCTCTAATTCCTAAATTCCTAAAAATCACTAACTCTCCTCACGTCTGCTTCAGACTCTGCGACTCACGTCGGCCTCAGACTCGACTTTGCGAATTCGTGATTGGGACGTGCTGCAGCGAGGCGGAGATGGGCTACGACGAGGTGACGAGGCGGCAACTGGTTGTGGCGAGACGTCCATCAAAACCAAGGTTAGATTCTTTCCAGATTTTTTTGTGTGTACTATTATAGATTTATTATTTTCTGTTTGTGTACAATGTATATATATAAAACACTACTGTTTTGTATATATAAGTATTGGAGGAATTCGCCATTTTAAACCCATATTTGTTACAAAATTATTTCAATTTGTCGGTTTAATTAGCCGATCGATCAGATTGATTAACAGCTTCTTGAATTTGAAAGTTGAACTCAATTGAGAGCTGTGAGCCACCATGCCCTGTCATATAAATTTATATGGGGGTAAATAAATCTTTAAGAGAGGAAGGTACTTCGTGAACATGTGGAAGAAATTGACAAGGCGGTTGCAGCAGGGGGAATAGTTAAAATCTGAATGTGTTTTTTTTGCTCTGAAAGCAATTTAAGTGTTTTGCAGGAGAAGAAGGTTAGGGAATTAGATCTGGAATGAATGATGCATTTTGATTGTAGTATTAGGCAAAGTGACCCTGTTATCTCTTATGCTTAGTAGTGTACTAGTAGTGGCTTGTGAGCTATTCTCACTTTAGGTAAAGTTCCATTGAGATTTGGTGTTCTACCTGTGTGACTCTGCAGTGCTAGCAGTTTGCTTGTTCTTCAATGCTATGAAGAATCATCATCGTCATGATGTATGCCGTTCTTCTTTTTTTCTTCAAATCTTGAAAAAAAGTAGAGTAAAAAACATATGACACTAGATTTCAAAGTCTTTGGATACTCCCCTTCTGTTAGGTGCTATGTGCTTTATTTTTAGAACTTATAAGCATA